ACAGCAACCCGGCCCCCGACTCAAAAAGGTTGCCTACCCCTGCTCTAGCTCATGCCTTGTTTCTGTTGTTTCCCCCCTAGATCGGCTGTTCTACATCTACACTTCTGGAACAACTGGAATGCCAAAGGCTGCCATTGTGGTGCACAGCAGGTAAGGAGTATCAGTGCACCTTTCCTTGGAACTTGGTCTTCACTGGCTTATATTCAAGATAGTTTTCATTTTTTAAGATTCTTATGAAGTGCACAGATACCAAAGAGATGCTACTGGACACTGGATTATGGGGCTCTTCTCTTTGAAGTTGCCATCTAGAAGGAAGACTTACTGCCTCCTCTCTGTCTCTTGGAAGGGTTGTGAGCAAGAGGGAGCAAGCAAAATGAAGGTTGTTCAGACTCCTGAGAAGGTTGTGTAAGCTGCATCGGGATGCCTACCTAGGATGTGCAGCTTTTCTTCCTATTAGGAAATAATGCCATTGTAATAAATCATATAGGTCTCCATTTAGTCACCCCTTGCACCCCAGCTATATGACAGCACAGAGGAAGGGCAGTGGGGTTGCTCCCTAGTTAGTATCCTTTTATACCTAGAAAAGCTTAATTACTGCCCTGGCTCCAATGTCATGGACATAGTAAAGTGAATAGTAATTGAGATTTTGTAGGGTGCAACTATTTTGATATTACAGCTACAGGCATGTTTCTAATGACTAATTTTGAAAAGATCTTAGTAGAGCTGTGAGCGCAGGAAAGAAGTGCCATTGTAGTGAGGGTTGGAAAGGAATTGTGATAGAGAGCATGTGAGGAGTTGTACTGGAAAAGCCTATCTGGTCTGTTATTTTATTCCAGAGCAGCCAGGCAGATGTCTCAAAGAGTCCTTCATGTGAGATATGTGCAGTAACATCCACTTGCTCATGTTCTCCAGCAGCTAGAATTGAGAGGTGTCTTGATTCATGATATAAGAGATAATATAAAGCCATGGGATGAAGTGGCTCAAGTGGTTAAGACTCTGACTCTGTTGTTTGCAAGATCGGCAGGTTGGCAGTTCAAGGCCAAGGTGCTGCATGATGGGGTGAACTCCTAGTCCCAGCTTCTGCCAACCTAGTAGTTCAAAGGCATGCAAATGTAAGTAGATAAATAGGTACCACTTCTCAGTGGGAAGGTAAACGGCGTTCTGTGCAGTCATTCTGGCCACATGATTACAGAGTAGTCTCTGATGACACTGGCTCTTTGGCTTAGTAACGGAGGTGAGCACTATCCCCTAAGGTCGGACACTCCAGGA